CGAGGAACCTGAACAGGGGTACCCACAGTTTTACCTGTCCCGCAAAGAGAGGAGGCTTTGAGGTCAGATACACGCTGACCTGTGACTCGTATCTGACTGGAGACAGGTGCAACACTTATAAACCATCTCCTTAGTGACAGGAGCTCAATGATGTATGGTAATAGAAATCTTTCACTTTAATAGTGTGTGAACTTAATTAACTATTAATTCCTGTTTTTTCTTAAATATTTGGTTGGATCTTTTAATTATACAGTATAGTTCAGCCGGCTTGGTGATAAATAATTTCAACAAACAAATGTCTGTCAATCTCAGAAAAGATTGAACTGCTGTTTACTCACAAGAAATATTACTATTCTTCCAGGTGTGTGAGCAATCAATTTTTTTGTTGTTATATTATCAACTGTGTACCATAAAATAAAATAAATGTTGTAAATTTACTGCAGATTGTCAACTTGATTTCCTTATATAAATCTTCTATTATCAGTGATCAGGAAAACGTCAAAATCTTATGCTAAGAATCCTGACATAATTATCTGACTGTATCTGACATCTACTAATATTGAATAGTGAATTAGATGACCGTAGACACAGTATTACTTAAAACGACACACATAATTTGAGTCTTATTTTCAAATGTTTTTTTTTTTTTTTACCAAATGTAATGACTGAGAATTTGCACTGACACAGCCAATTAATATGATGTTTTCAGAAAGTTATATATTTTAAAAAGCAAATTATCCAAAAGAAAGAGCCATATATTGTTTTGGGAAAGGCCTGAAAATACTACTGTTTTCCTGGTTTTATATTTTAATCTTTAGCTTTTTATTATTGTCATCTTTGCCAATGTAGGACTATTTTTTTAGTATATGAGATATTTATATGTAAAGTGCATAATAAACTAAATTTATTTTCATTATTATTTAGGACAAATGTCTATTTTATTACTGAATTAAATTCAGTTTATTTGTATAGCGCCAATCCACAACTCATTCTCTGAAGGCACATTACAGAGACAATTCAACCATATCATATATTTAGATTATTTCAAGGCAATCGTCCAAGGCCGACTGGGGTTCAAGGAGAAGCAGACATGGAAAAAGAAACATTGATACAAAAGGTGGCTTTCAACCAGCTCCACAGGCAACGTTCAGCAAACACACAACCAGACAGATTAGCGCTGAGCCAGCTACCATGTCAGAGGATGAAAGACAGCACATAAAGTTAGTCACAGTCAGAAAAACAGGCCAAGCTCCAGCCTCTATAAACAAAGGCGTTGATGGCAGCAGCTGAGCCGACACTCCTCCCCAGGATGGTGCCACAGCAGAAAAGAAAAATACCATATGAAGCTGCTATAAGAAAAAGCAGAGAGAGCATAGCCTTAGAGATTGAACAAACAAATTCTGCAGAGTGGGAGTAGAGACAGAATGAAGTAAAATTATGAAAAATTGGTCCCTATGTCCTCCAGCAGTCTCAGTCTATAGCAGCATAATTGAAGACATAGCTCTGGATAACCTTGTCCACTCTAACTACAAGCTTTATCAAAAAGGAAAGTTTTAAGCCTACCCTTATAAGTAGTTAGCTGTACAACAGTTTGACAGCAGTGTCAGAAAGGTACATTTTGCCCAGGATAAAATCCATGCTGGACAATTCTGCACATCGTCTTCGTGCTGGTCACCCACAGAAGCACCTTCAGTCAGAGACTCATTTCATCACACTTCAAGAGGAAAAACTCCCTTTTAACAGGAAGATACCTCCAGCAGAACCAGGCTCAGTGTGAGCGGCCATCTGCTGAGGCACACAGCCAGGCAGATGAGCTCCGAGCCAGCTCCCTTGTCAGAGGATGAAGAGAGCACATCCAGCCAGTCACGATCAGAGAAACAGGACTACACCGGAAAAACAGGCTGATCTTCAACATCTATAAACAAAGGTGTTGATGGAAGCAGCACAGCTGATATTTCTCTCCAGGATGGTATCACAGCCAAACAGGAACAGACGAGGCAAAGCTACAATGGGAAAAAGCAGAGAGAGCATAACGTTAGAGACGTTAGAGCTCTACTGTAGGTTCCAAATAAGGCTAATTCACTGACATCCACATAAAAGGAAAGCTTGGCTTTCTAAGTAGAAGAGTCAGAAAAGGGGTCCACAGATCTGTCATAGACTGCCATAGACAGTCATAGACTAAACCTCATCAAGGATGATGAAGTTTATTCTCCCCCCCTGTCCAATGGCATGACAACACAACAATAGGCCCATATGCAACATTATCTGGGTGGCCCCATATGAAGTACAACACCCCATTAAAGTTGGGAAGTTTTTTCCGTTCTTCCGGCAGCTCTTCTTTCCTTTTCTGGAATCCGGTTAAGTACCTCTTTTTGCTATCCATCGTCGCTAACACATTGTATGTAACGGTTATGGTCTTCATCTACACTCTGGATTACCCATAATTCAAAGTCATATTGTAAAAAATAAAATTCTCAAATTCATCGTTCTTTTAAGATCTTTAGTGCCGTTTGAAACATATTATATGAGTGTATTTTTTTACCAGCCGTCTAATGAACTATAGTTAGTTATTAATATAGTAATTAAAAGTACCACTGTCTGCTTTGCTATTGGTGTCGTGTTTAAATGGCTCACCATCATGTTGAAATCTGCCATGTGTTGGGGTATAAATAAGGTCCAGTCAGCCAATCAACTCTCAGGTGGATTTAGGAGGAATTTTTTGCACCATTACATCTGCAAAGAGACATTCTAGTCCATAATTCACCAGGTGTCAGCGAACGGGCCCCTAAGCAACTGCAGTCTCTGCTTACCGACAGTTACGCCATTGCTCCAGTCTGCTGTCTCTCTGCCCATCTGTAAGTCCCTCCAAGTTGAATAACGGACACAAGGCGTTCCTTAATTTTACTGGCATTTAATTGGACACAGGTGTCATCAATGATGCCATGAGAACTGTACGAACGACATAAACACTTTAAATACAATAAGGTATTCTCATGGAGAATATAAAATAAAAAAGATTGTAACAACATAAGCCTTTCCTAAATCAGTAGTTTGACCTCTTAACGTAACATTTAAGAACACGTGACTAATAAACTTCACAGACATTAAAAGCATAATCATCTTCCTTTATTGAAACACAAACTAAAAACTGTTCATTGGCCGCATCAAATTGAAGGGGTTTATAGAAATATCTTTTGCAGCACCATCCTCTTCACTGAAGTGCAGGAAAAGTCTTTATTGCAAGAATAGCGTCAGCTAAAAATACAGCATGCTGCCACCTATCGTATAAAGTGTATAACTAAAATATTGATCTGACCTAAACAACAAAATTAACATTGGTTCCACCCTAAAACATTTACAGAGGCTTCTAAATTTGCATTTTAACATCAGTTGTCTGATTTTCTTAATTCAATATTATTTTTACAAATTAATTGCAAACTAAATCTATGAAATTAAATTAACAGCATAACTGCTCTTGATGGCAGTAACTTCATCTGTCTCTCTTCGGGTGTCCCATAGACTCTTCTAATCAGTGAAAAGTAATTTGGACAAAACAGTTTTATGACTGACAGTGTTTTAAAATTGATTCAATAACTTTTTTTCTGAAGCGTATAACACTGTACAGGCAGCACCATTTACAATCAACAATTAAGATATATGTATAACTTTGGATTGTTTTTTGGGTTTGTTTAAAACCAAAATAGGATTATAAACCCTTGTCAATGTTAATTTGATCTAAGTGAAAACCTTGTAAAGTGCATTACAAATAATAATAATAATAATAAATCAACCCTTTGTGATATACACAGGTGGATTATTTTAATCATCATCCCTCATTTAGGTCAACATTGGATCATTCAGTGATACTCACTGAACTTTTGAAGAGAGTTTGCTGCACTGAAAGTAGAGTGACCGATTAATTTTGAACACCCCGCACTTCAGTTTTTGATTCATTATAAAAGTTTAAAGTATCCAATGAATGTCCACTTCGTGATTGTGTCCCACTTGAGGATTCTTTATGATATATGTATATATAGCCCTAAGGCTAAACCTGCTTCAATCTACAGCCCACCTCTTCATGCTTGCCTCCACATTTTCACAGCCTTTGGACCCGGTCCAGGTAGGCTGGGTCCTTCAGGGCCAGGGGGTCGGTGGAGCAGGGACAGATCGTGAAACTGGCTGCTAAATGCTGATTGGCCAATATATTTAAAGATTTCTGACTGACAGTGGCCAGACAGGAGGTTTTCTCATGGGTCGAGAGCAGAAGGGAAATAACTCAGTCAAGCGACTATGCATTTTTGTGCAAATTGGANAGAAGGGAAATAACTCAGTCAAGCGACTATGCATTTTTGTGCAAATTGGATCTTTTCATCGGAAGAAAAATGTTTGGTTTTCTTTCAAATTCAAACTGTTCATTTTAGATACAAATTATTTTTCTCGAGGAGCACAAATTTTATTTGGTTTGAGAAAATTAATCTACATAGAGAATCTTGAAATTCTGTGATCATAGTACATTGACAGTAGGGGGCACTGTCTGTTCTTTAGTATTGTCCTTCTTTGTTCTTCAGTATTGCTACAAATAATTAGAAAATAAATACATTTCTAAAATGTTTGTAAGTTGTGATAGAAGTCAGCATCTCTTAGTTTATTTTAAGTCCAGCACAGATAAAACCCATACAATATGAGTATACAGTGACATCATGTGGTTAAATGTATTTTCTTTTGCTAACCTAAATTGAGATGTACAGGGTGTAGGCTATGAAAAAGAGGGGTAGGGTTTATTTGTATCTTTGAGGTTTTATGGTAAAAAAAAAAATATATATATATATTGTATTTTATCTATTTTTATTTATTTGTATTTTAGATACAAAATGCAATACTTATCTCTTTCTGACCATTAATAACAGACTTGTTTTTCTTTCTTATGAAAATCCAGTTATCAAAAAATAAACACACTTTTAAGCCCTTGGAAAGGTTACACCCAGGATTGTCTATAAAACACAGCGATGAGGCATTTGGTTGGTTGTGATGGTCTGTCTCCGTGGTTATTATAACAATGAAAGAATTTTCTTCACTAGCCGGAATATTAAAATATAATGTAAAATTGAATTCTTTTTTTTTTTTTTT